TTAACACAGCTGTGTACATAGTTACTTCTAGTTACTACAGTTAACACAGCTGTGTACATAGTTACTTCTAGTTACTACAGTTAACACAACAGTGCACATAGATACTTATGATTACCACAGTTAACACAACTGTGTGCATAGATAATTTTGGTTACCACAGTTAACATAGCTGTGTACATAGTTATTTCTAGTTACTACAGTTAACATAGCTGTGTACATAGTTACTTCTAGTTACTACAGTTAACACAGCTGTGTACATAGTTACTTCTAGTTACTACAGTTAACACAACTGTGTACATAGATAATTCTGGTTACCACAGTTAACATAACTCTGTAGACAGTTACTTCTAGTTACTACAGTTGACACAACTGTGCACACAGATAATTTTGATTACCACAGTTAACATAGATGTGTACATAGTTACTTCTAGTTACTACAGTTAACATAGCTGTGTACATAGTTACTTCTAGTTACTACAGTTAACATAACTCCGTAGACAGTTACTTCTGATTACTACAGTTAACATAGCTGTGTACATAGTTACTTCTAGTTACTACAGTTAACACAACTGTGCACACAGATAATTTTGATTACCACAGTTAACATAACTCCGTAGACAGTTACTTCTGGTTACTACAGTTAACATAGCTGTGTACATAGTTACTTCTAGTTACTATAGTTAACACCACTGTGTACATAGTTACTTCTAGTTACTATAGTTAACACCACTGTGTACATAGTTATTTCTAGTTACCACAGTTAACATAGATGTGTACATAGTTATTTCTAGTTACTACAGTTAACATAACTCTGTAGACAGTTACTTCTGGTTACCACAGTTAACATAACTCTGTAGACAGTTACTTCTGGTTACTACAGTTAACATAGATGTGTACATAGTTATTTCTAGTTACTAGAGTTAACATAGCTGAGTACATAGTTACTTCTAGTTACTACAGTTAACACCACTGTGTACATAGATAATTTTGATTACCACAGTTAACATAGATGTGTACATAGTTACTTCTAGTTACTACAGTTAACATAGTCTATACTTACCGCAGTTTGTAGATGTCGTTTTAACTCCATTGACTTGACCGGACTCAAAGTATGAGGATCAGGGGTTGAGTGTGTATTATCTACTTTTAACGATTGTAACTTGAAGCTCACAACGTATCGCACAGTTTCTAAATAAATACACACAAAAAAGTCAGAAGTTAAATGCAAAACATTACACTGAACAGTTTTTCTCTAGCATGTAAAACAGTTAGCTCTTGGCAGTTTTTACTACGATATTTATATCTCAAAAGATGGCGCTACAAGCATGTAAACAATCAATATCAAGATACGCGTTCAAGCCTAGTTCACAAGGTTTTGTTTGTTTTGAAACGTTCTACCTGTATTTTATTAACCGTAAAAAGTGTCTGTGTTGTATAAAAAATCTCGCATTACTATACACCTATATAGCTTAATTATGTTAATAAACTATTCAGAGAAACAGTCTATAATTTGGATTAAAGGTTTTTAAAAAAAATAGTGTCAAATACCTATATTGTCCTGTTACAATTCACCCAGTGATAAATTACTAATTTAAGTATGAACTTATTTCTTTACGTGTTGTCTCATTTACTTATTGTCATAACAACCTATATTCATAGAGATTACTTGGTGGGGCTCGACGAGCTTGTAGCCTTGTCTGTAGATGCTCCCAGATGTGCTCTATTGAGTTGAGGTCAGGAGACCTAGCTGGTCACTCCATCCTGGGAATTCTTTCAGCTTCCAGGAAGGCAGTCACTGTCCTTGCACGGTGTGGACGCACATGTCATCAAACAGCAGGAAGTCTGGCCATGTTGCACCTGCACATGGACGAACAATGAGTGCAAGGATCTCATCTCTGTATCTTAGGCTGGTGAGACTTCCATTTCCGATGATTACAAGGTTGGTACGGCCTGTAATTGAAATGCCTCCCCCACACCATAACTCCTCCAAAGCGATCATGTTCGATGATATTCTGAGGCAAATTGCGCGCACCAGGGCGTCTCCAAACTCTCCTGAGTCTGTCAAGAAAGTCCACCCAGTAGCGAGATTTGTCAGTGAATAGTACGGTCCTCCATTGTTGCGCAGTCCACCTCCTGTGTTCTCTAGCCCACTGCAGTCGTGCTTCCCTGTACTGTCGGCTTAAAAGAACATGAACAGCAAGACGTCTAGCCCTCAACTGAGCTTCGTCAAGGCGTCTGCACACTGTCTTTGTAGGCATTCGGACTCCTGTGGCATCTTGGAGGGAGTTACGAGGTTACCAGTTGGAGCAAAGTGATTCCTTCGAGCCTGGATGGTCAAGTAAAGTGATTCCTTCAAGCCTGAATGGTCAAGTAAAGCTATTCCTTCAAGCCCGAATGGTCAAGTAAAGTGATTCCTTCAAGCCTGGATGGTCAAGTAAAGTGATTCCTTCGAGCCCGAATGGTCAAGTAAAGTGATTCCTTCAAGCCTGGATGGTCAAGTAAAGTGATTCCTTCAAGCCTGGATGGTCAAGTAAAGTGATTCCTTCAAGCCTGGATGGTCAAGTAAAGCTATTCCTTC